GACATTGACCAAAGATAAATGTGGCCATATTTGGCTAATGTTTTGACCCTAGAGATTCGGCCCCTTTGTTATACCCATTTCAAAAGATCTGTTAGCATGCTGGCCTGCTACTGTGCTGCATACAATCTAATTACCTTTGAGCTTAGGGCAGCTTTTTTTTCATGGGACAGAGTATAGAAAAAAAACTTCTACACAACACCATCTGATGGAAATTTGAATCCTCCACATCACTCATTGCTCCAACATGGTGTGGCTAATATTGTCACCTTGTTAAAAAGAAATTACAGTATTTAAACAATCAGGATGTGAAAAAAAAGTTTTTTTAATCTTTTAAGAGAAAACACCAACATTCTGTGCTGCACTTGCTAGATTTCATGCAATCTTATGCAATCTTGATTGGATAGTGTATGGGGGACTTACAATAATTGGAAATCATCATCATCATCAGAATGTGGATCTACAAAACTGCATATAGGTAATAAAACCATCAACAATGTGTGTGTACTGGTATATACATTTAAAATCTACACATGAAAAATATATATAAAAAGTATATACAATATAATCCCAGAGGCAAGGTTGTAATTTATTAGTTTGTTGCTAATACCACTGGCTGGGGAAGGCTGCCTTCTGATCTAGCTGGGAACCCACATGCTACAAAAGAGAAAAAGAATGTGGAGAGAGGCGCCAAGCCGCCAATAGTGTAACAAATTTTATTGAATTAAAAATGCATTTTCACCTCAGTTCAGAGAAAATTTACAGTGGCAGAATGAAAATTTTTCTCAAATGAATGAATATCTCAGAGTGAATGTGATTTTTATCCTTGGAAGTCCAATTAATGCAAAATCAACTGTTAAAAGCAAAACTTTAAAAGTGAGAGTGAAAACTGTAGCGCTAGACAGATATGAAACTAATATGATAGTAATAATTACAGATGAGCGAATTATTCAAAAATTCGATTCGGCTGATTCGCCGAATTTGCGGAATAAATTCGATTCAATGCGAATTTATTCGCTGCGAATTTAACTTATTAAAAGGGTTTCTAGGCTTCAGAGAGCCTTTATATTAGTGCAGAACACTGTACCTTTAATTTAAATGCCCTTGGAGTCTGCTGGGGAAGAGAAATAATACTGTCAGTCAGTATGACATGCAGATGAGTGCCGTCGATCTTAGAATCACCGCACACTTCACTCATTTGGGCAGTCACGGGGCCAAAACCAGAGTGTGGAGCCACAGTGTGGCGGTGGAGGCAGCAGCAATGGGAGGCCATACAGCACCCTATGACAAAATGGAACCCACCAGCAGTGTGAGGAGACCTGAAAGTGGCACATGGCAGAGTGTGGCGATGGAGACAGCAGCAATGGGAGGCCGTACAGGGACCCATGACACACTCTGGACGTGGCAGCAGCATGAGGAGGCGGTACAGGGGCCCATGGCAGAGTGGCGAAGCGTAAGCAGCTTAAATTGAAGGCCATACAGAGGCCTATGTTAAAAAGTCCCCCCAGCAGCAGTGTGGGGAGACGACTATCAAGAGTCCAATGGCGGAGTGGCGGAGCAGAAGCAGCTTCAATTGAAGAGGATGAAGAGGATGAAGAAGATGAGGATGAAGAAGAGGATGAGGAAGAAGAGGAGATGAGGATGAAGAAGAAGATGAGGAAGATGAAGAGGATGAGGAAGAAGAAGAGGATGAAGAAGAAGAAGAGGATGAGGAAGAAGATGAGGATGAAGAAGAAGAGGATGAGGATGAAGAAGATGAGGATGAAGAAGAAGAGGATGAAGAAGAGGATGAGGATGAAGAAGAAGATGAGGATGATGAAGAAGAGGATGAGGAAGAAGAAGAGGATGAGGATGAAGAAGATGAGGATGATGAAGAGGATGAGGATGAAGAAGAAGAAGAGGATGAGGAAGAAGAAGAAGAAGAGGATGAGGATGAAGAAGAAGAGGATGAGGAAGATGAGGATGAAGAAGAGGATGAGGATGAAGAAGAGGATGAAGAAGAAGAGGATGAGGATGAAGAAGAGGATGAAGAAGAAGAGGATGATGGTGAAGAAGAAGAGGATGAGGATGAAGAAGAGAGATGAGGATGAAGAAGAGGATGAGGATGAAGAAGAGGATGAAGAAGAAGAGGATGAGGATGAAGAAGAAGAGGATGAGGATGAAGAAGAAGAAGTAGGATGAAAATAAGAATTCCAGTCCAGCAAAAAGTGTATCTGCAGAGAGCTCCGCTATTTCTGACAGTTCTCTGACAGTTCCTTCACATTTACAGCGGTTGAAACATTGTATCTATTTGTTTCCGAATAAAAACATCTGTATCCTAAATGGAAACAAATAGATACAATGTTTCAACCGCTGTAAATGTGAAGGAACTGTCAGAACTGTCAGAAATAGCGGAGCTCTCTGCAGGGACACTTTTTGCCGGCTGTAGAAGGGATGAAAATCGGCCGATCGGGGAAAATTCAATTCGTGCATCCGAAGTTTGCTAATTTTCGGATTCGGCGCGAATCGAATTTTTCCTAATATTCGAAACGAATTCCACTTCGCCAAGTTCGATTCGCTCATCTCTAGTAATAATATACAGTGTTCAAAAATAAAAGTCCATCAAACCAAATGAAAAAAGTGTTAAATAAATGTCCAACCACCAACATATACAGGTGCTCTTGATTGTAGAAAACCGTCTCACAGTAAAATTCAAACTCACCAGAGATGCTGGCTGCCACTACAGCAGGATACACATTCTTATAATCATGCAGAAACACATGTATCTTGTCATAGATATCGATGAATATATGCCATTTTTTTCTCCTCGGACACTTGCTGATATTCACTATCTGCAAAAAGACGTAGTGCAAGTCAGGTATTAATCTGCGTGTTTTCTGACATAATTTTTCATCTTTTCTTCTATTTTATCCCTCTTTTTTCCAAACATCAATAATAGCAAATTAGCTAGTATATATTGTAATACTTTTAATGCGTCTGTATTAAGCTTTCTAAACAGAGAGTTGAGACTAAGAATAGCAACATTTTGAGCTCTATTTATCGTTGATTCAATAGCCAGTTCACCCAACATTTTTGTCCTTTCAGTTTTGCAAATTTACTGAAATATTTTACAGTAGTTTTTACTCACAGGAGACTTGGTGCAAAATTTGATGGGTGAAAAAAACAAATTATTCAGCATTTGCTCACATCTGTTTTTCAGTGGGGAAAGTGGTTTACTGTGCTGTTCATCCTGTTTATCTCTCTGTGAATGTAGATTCGCTCTGAACTTTGCCAAGCATTCTCCCATTTTTTTATTTTTCTTTTAATTTTGCCTCCAAGCGCTTGAAGTATGAATAGCCTTGTTTTCCTTTTTATGAAAACGTGAAATATTGTAATTTACTTTTTTACAACCTTTTAATTTTGGACTCATTCCCACAGTTGCTCAGCCCCAGTGTGAAGAGCCCTTTGTTTATTTTGTGTACTAGCACTGAGCTGCATGCAAACAGGCAGCCTATATAAAATGGATGAATATACATTGGCTTTACAGCCTCACCCAAACAGTCAAGTTTGACAGGTATGCAGGGACAGGTGGACGGACTTGGGCACAGAGCCTGTGCATCCAGGTCCGTTGACCTGTCCCATGCGGCATGGAGCTGAGGGCCTGTGTCAATGAGCCCGTACAGTATGTCCAGTTATGCCAAAATATATCATAGCCATTTTTCTGTAAACATCATAATCTTTAAATTTTCCTAGCAAAAAAACATTTATTGTTATTTACTATTTACTACAGGTACTTAGTGCTGTCAATTTAAGCAGCGCTTTACATACATGTTGTACATTCATATCAGTCCCTGTTGGATTTTTAGACACATATAATACTGCTTCTAGTGTCTTGAGGCGATTATGAATGAAAGAGACATTATAATAAAAAATGAAGTGTGATTTTATTCTATCACACAATGGTGTCAAATAAACAATGTAAAGCGTATTATGAACAGTTCCATCTAGATGAAACTACTGTAAAACTGACAAGCGAAAGTTCAAAGAAAAAGTCACCATTATCTGTCATGGCTGTTCTTGCCATGTGCGATTCTCATGTCCTTGTCCAACTCAAAGTCCGAGAGAGAAGACGGAAGTGACGTTAATGATGATCTCTTGTCTTGCAGCACCTGTTGCAGCTTCTCAGACGTGTGTTTGCAAGAGTCATGTTGCTTGTGTGTATCAGAGAGAGTGTGTGAGCGTGAGTGTGTGACCCTTGTCCGTTCCGATGGTCTTTTATGAGGCAAATGTACGTCATAGTTAGTGATCATAATACCTTCTATGGAAAGTATTACTGCTTAGCAAAGCTATTTCATAAAAGGGAAAGATGCTATACATATGATGTTTGATGGACAGGAACATATGTATGCTGATGTACCAATGATGTAACCCTTAGCTATATATTTAAAAGATAGTATAGCTTAAGAACATATCAATGTATAATCACTAAACTATATATGTATCAGTGTTAGAGACGTATACTAAATATACACAGAAAATACGTAATGTAATAGTAAGTCACTTCTAATAACCTTGACATAACTACCAAATACTTTTAACCAACTATCTCTAAATATAGTCTACTCAACTTTCAACTGGTATATACTATTTCAGCTTAACTTGTATATCTTTTGGTCTCAGCTATAATTGAAGAATAGTAAATACTACCATTTGTCACAGACCACTTACATATATTAATAATAAATTATGACTAATCATAAAAACCAAATATTTTGCAAGCTTGCCATCAATATAAATGCCGAATCATAATTTAGATTTAACATTTCCCCCTTATTATGATTAGTCTAAAATTAATGCCAAATCAATGCACACTTCATTCATGTCCCATACACACCGTCTTATACCAAATGATCGTATATATTCTTCATAACTGGACCAATCAAAAATAACTTTCCTTCAAAACTCTATACCTAATCTTTCAGTTTCTCTTCCTAAAAATTCTTAATCATAATGTTAATTGATATATGATAATATAGTAATAATAATAATAAAAATAATAAAAATAATTAAATGATGTAATAATAATTAATGTATTATATTTCCATATTTGTATAATATTTTAAACTCTCCGGAAATATACTTTCCATTCTAAAATGTGTCATAAGTTTATATTGCTCCTATAAGAGTAATATATTTCTTGAATCTTTTAACAAAAGATATTCTAATAACTGGAATAACTCCAGTTATTAAAAAAATTAAAATAAATAATACTAATAAAAAATTAATAATAATAATATTATCCCAATATGGATGTAAGTATCGGAATAAAAGGATCATTAAAATGTATATGTGACCTATAACAATATTATCAATAATAAATTATTTTATCATTAATAAATAGATTTCCTCTTGATGAATCTTTTCTTCATGCAATGTCTATATAATGTCTATATCTTCTTTAAGTTCTGTAAAGTAGAAACATTTTTGTTGAACGCGATAAATCAGTCACAAGTGTGAAGTATTGAGTTCTTGTTCAATCTTCTTTAACGTCCAAATTCCTTAAAGTTGGCTTGTAGGAGATTGTTACGCTTCATATTTGATTTTAGATGTCATTTCTGTAAAGAAATGCAGTATCATTACTTTGGCACAAACATTGCATTAGTCTTGCACCTATTTCAACAAATATGAAAGATTATGGAAGATTATGGAACAATCAGTGTATGAGTTTGAAACACATATTGTGAAGTATCATTACTTCCTATTTCCTTTTACAGAAAACTTCTATATATCAATCAAAATACTGTCCTAATCCTGTCTGAAATTACCTAAACTAGAATACAAAAGTAGTGTGTTATTTAGGTATGACAGGACGCAATATTTCATCATAGGTCATGACCGCAAAACCCTGTTTTATTAAACAAAGAAAGGTTTTGTATCACCCCAGAGATGACAAAGGTTTATGCCTTTGTTCTCATCCCTATAACTTTAGAAATATGCGTAACTGTTTTCTGTGCTGATGTCATTACTCTAGTGTTAGAGTGTTCTTCATTAATACATGTGTTGCTGTGAATGTGAGGTAGAGACTTGTCTGATGCAGCTGTACCTATCACAATGTGTTTGGCTAACAGTGCTCTTATCCACTGAGGATACTTTTCACGGCATTCTCTGAATGTATCTTCCTCAAGAATTCTTCTTAGTGAACTGTCAGGAGACTGTAATATGATACTATGTGACTTTACTGTGCTTTGTGAAGCTTTGATTGCATAAAAGAGACTCAACAGTTGTTGTGCCTCAGATGTAAAAGTTCTTTCCAATAGTGATAAATTTCTGGAGAAGTAACTAATTAGTCTTTCATCACCTTCTTTTAATTGAGACAAAGTTACTGAAATTGCATTATCAGATACATGAGTTTTCACAACAAAAGGAGCATTGGAACAAACCTCAATAGTACCTAATGCTGGCGCATTCTGCAAATCCTTTTTCAACACTTTTAAAGCATTATTCTCATTTGGACCCCATTGGTCAACTAAGTTATTTTTACTCTTCAAAAGATGATGTAATGGCTTAACTTTCTCTGCGAAACCATGTATAAACTCTTTGCAATGATTTATGTTTTTCAAAAATTGTTGCAATGCTTTATGTGTTGTAGGAACTGGAATGGCAGTGATAGCTCTGACTGTTTCCTGCAATAATTGTCTCTTTCCTTGACTAATCTGCATGTGAAAGCATTTCACCTGACTTTTCATCAGCTGAATCCTTTCTGGGTTTAATTTAAGACCTGCATCCTGTAACAACATAAATAGCTCAGACAAAAGAGTAATATGTTCGTTAACATTCTGCGTACTTAGCATAATTGTATTTACATGCTGAAAAATGCATTCTGGCCTTGAAAATTGTGATAGAATTTTTTCTATGGACTCATGGACTATACCATCACTGATGTCTAAACCAGCTACTAATCGAGTGAATGCATAGGTCTCTTTCTGAAACTTAAAAGCTAGCTTGTATTGACAACTTTTAGCTATGGGGATCGAAAAATGACTGTTATCGATTTCCAAAACAGAAAACACTTTGGATTCGGCCTTTAAATGTAACTTGATATTAGAATGATCAGGAACAACTGCTTTGTTATTTGTGATATGTTTATTCAGTGTCCTGAAATCAACTGACAAAGAATATGAATTGTCAGCATTTTTGATAGGCCAAATACAGTTATTTACCACTGATTGTGTTTTCTTTAAAATCCCAAGTTGTACAAACTCTTGAATAATGGCAGAAAGTGGTCCTATTGATTCTTGTGGTAACTCATATTGATTTAGGGGTATAGGATCCTTTCCCTCAATATTCAATTCTGTATCTTTCAAAGTTCCTATGTCATTTTTAAATTTTGACCACAAACTTGGAAAACGTTGTACCAATTCTTGTAAAGCATAATTACCATCAATATCAGGCCATTTTTGTGCTGTAGACATTTTAGAGTTGAAACCAACATCACTGTATATAGAAGGATCCATTAACATTGATTTGGGCCTAGAAGGGTTCCTCCAAATAACTTTCGTCATAATATCAATAATCCACTTTTGCTTATTGATAAAATCAATGCCAAGAATATTCTCGGTGGCATTACTATACCAAATATCAATGTTAGTTTTCACTAGCCCAGGTATTTCAAATGTTACATTGGGTACCTGTCTAGCAGTGGAATGACCTGTATTTATTAAAACCTTTTATTTTACACATGGGTGAATTTGGTTTCACAGGTACATTTTCTCTGGTCAGATTAATCTCAGATCCGCTGTCAATTAGGAATCTGATCTTTTTACCATTTAGTAATCCGTCTATAAAAGGCCTTCCATTGTCATCCAATACAATTGGAGCGACAAATTCTAACGATATCGAGGATGAATGTGGACGTGATTCTATTTTTGGAACTGGTAATAAACCATTTGTGTCAGTGACAGCCCTTCTCACCCTGTTGTCAGAACAGTTGTTTCTAGTCAAAGTGCGAATTTGTTTAACTGATGAGGCATAAGGCAATTCAGTTAAATTTTTATCATTACACAACACAGCAGGTTGTACAAAAGCTGCTTTTTCACTTTTTATTTCCAGTTTCTTTATTTGTGAGTTCAGTTTAAACTTCCAACAATGGCGTCTGATATGACCTTGTTTATGACAGTGAAAACATGTGGTATCCTCATTATGACTCGCTTGCTTGCATCTGTCGTTGTCATTCTTACTGGGACCTGTAGTTCCTGGCATAACTGTAATCTGACTGTTTTTGTCACTTTGAAGCGCAGCTACCTCATAAGTGATATTGCTATTTTGCAATTTTCTCCGGATTCTATCAATGAAACTTACTATATCATTCAAATTTTGTTTTTCCTCGGCTATGACAATGGTTACTGGGTCTAAATATGTGAATTTCTTTACAAAAGCTTTGATCATAGCTGAGTCTTCCTCATTTTCTACTCCAAATATAATTTTATATGCTTTGGAAAACTTGCTTTTAAATTCAAAAGGGTCTTCGTCAGCAGTAGTCTGCAGTAAGTCGAGCATTTCTACAGAAGGTACGTCTTCACCTGTTGAACATAACAGCAATTGTCGCAGTCTGTCTGTCGCGTCATTATGTTTTTTCTGATCTTTATCGTTAACAACAGAATTTTTAATTCGAGACATAAATTTAATTGGGAGCCACATCGGAAACAAATAATTTATGTCATGATCTGAAATCTGATGGCATTTGACATGCATTTCATATACTTCCATGTTGCTATAGATATCTTTATCTGGATCATAAGCAGGAATGTCTTTTAAAACTTTCATTAATTGACTATGTATTTGCAACTTAAGTTTTGCAGTTTTACATAACAATTCTTTATGTTTAATTTGTGTTTCGTCATCAGAGTTAATATCCGAACTTTCAGAGAAATCGGACAGACGTGACTCTGATTTTGAATCACTCTGTTTGTCATCTGTGTTTATCATGGCAACCTGTTTACTGTCATTCTGCAGTCTTAACAAAAGATTTGTCTTTAAGTCAATTTGTTCCTCAAGATTTTCTATGTAAGTACAAAGTATGTCACAATTTGGACAATTAAGAGGATCTTGAGACAAATGTTCATGCATTTCTGTGTTCTGTACAGTGCTACATTCTGTCTGTTTTAATGTACAAGCTTTTTTAACAGGTAAATCAACATTCAAAATCATTTTGTTGAATATTCTTACTAAATTTAAGATGTTAGATATCTTCTTACGCTGTCTGTGCACAGTAAATTTAGATTTATCTATCTGAATATTGGCCTGTAAACATTCGTTATACATATAGTGCCATAGCTGACTGTCTTCAGGATATAAAGAAACATCTTTAAATTCTAGCTTACTTTCATTAACTAAGTCATCAATAAATTCCATAATTGTTACTCACCGTAATCAGAAGATTTTCTCGTTTGACCCGGCTCAATCACTGGAATTCTCGTCCAAGTCTGTTTTAATCGCCTGTTCTGCTAGGTACTTTTCACCGTGTTTTTCCCAAAACTTGACAATCACAGAATCGTGCGTTTTTCCCCCTTAACAAGGTATGGGAAAAACCGTAGAAAAAACGTTCGGCGGTGGCTGGCTCACAAAATGTTGGATTTTTAGACACATATAATACTGCTTCTAGTGTCTTGAGGCGATTATGAATGAAAGAGCCATTATAATAAAAAATGAAGTGTGATTTTATTCTATCACACAATGGTGTCAAATAAACAATGTAAAGCGTATTATGAACAGTTCCATCTAGATGAAACTACTGTAAAACTGACAAGCGAAAGTTCAAAGAAAAAGTCACCATTATCTGTCATGGCTGTTCTTGCCATGTGCGATTCTCATGTCCTTGTCCAACTCAAAGTCCGAGAGAGAAGACGGAAGTGACGTTAATGATGATCTCTTGTCTTGCAGCACCTGTTGCAGCTTCTCAGACGTGTGTTTGCAAGAGTCATGTTGCTTGTGTGTATCAGAGAGAGTGTGTGAGCGTGAGTGTGTGACCCTTGTCCGTTCCGATGGTCTTTTATGAGGCAAATGTACGTCATAGTTAGTGATCATAATACCTTCTATGGAAAGTATTACTGCTTAGCAAAGCTATTTCATAAAAGGGAAAGATGCTATACATATGATGTTTGATGGACAGGAACATATGTATGCTGATGTACCAATGATGTAACCCTTAGCTATATATTTAAAAGATAGTATAGCTTAAGAACATATCAATGTATAATCACTAAACTATATATGTATCAGTGTTAGAGACGTATACTAAATATACACAGAAAATACGTAATGTAATAGTAAGTCACTTCTAATAACCTTGACATAACTACCAAATACTTTTAACCAACTATCTCTAAATATAGTCTACTCAACTTTCAACTGGTATATACTATTTCAGCTTAACTTGTATATCTTTTGGTCTCAGCTATAATTGAAGAATAGTAAATACTACCATTTGTCACAGACCACTTACATATATTAATATTAATTATGACTAATCATAAAAACCAAATATTTTGCAAGCTTGCCATCAATATAAATGCCGAATCATAATTTAGATTTAACAGTCCCTAACCATCAAGGAGCTTACAATCTAAGGTCCCTAGCTTACATTCATACACATATTAGCGCCAGTTTATACAGGAGCAAATTGACCTATCACTATGTCTTTATAGTTAATTAAAATTGTTGTAAGGATTCTTTAAATCACAATAATTCCTGAAATGACTAAGAACACTGACTGACAGTGACTCACTTTAGAAAAACTGCCTTTTTGCAAACTGTCTTATTAATGGCATTGCTCACTTTATTTCTGAGGCCGTATATAATGGAATTTTTACTGGCGATGCAATGGCACACAGAGCTGATATAACATTATCAGCTTGTAAGCGGTTGCAGAATGCAGGCCGTACATAAGTGTAGCTGATTTCACCATACAAGATAGTTATCACAGTGAGGTGGGATGCACAAGTACAGAAGGCTTTTTGTTTTTTTTTCCAGATGAGCAGATTTTCATAATTTTGGTAATATGTACAGTATGTATAGCAGGTAACAGTCAGTGACTAACACACCATTCCCAGCAGCACATCAGATGCCACAATTACAACATCATTAACATATGTGTTAGAATTTGCCAACTTTTAGCCCAGGGGGAATTTCACAGAAAAAAAATTATCCATAATAGTTTCTTCCCTAAATTTAAGTCTTAGAATGATACATGTAAGTATCATTGAGTTCACTGATCCAACAATCAAAGATAATCCAGGCAAACATATACAGTCAGCTGTGCTCACCGGTACGTTCCTTCTTTTTAAGAATGTTCCAAACAGTTGTTTTGGCAATGCCTAATGTTTTTGCTATCTCTCTGATGGGTTTGTTTTGTTTTTTCAGCCTAAAGATGGCTTGCTTCACTGATAGTGACAGCTCTTTGGATCTCATCTTGAGAGTTGACAGCAACAGATTCCAAATGCAAATAGCACACTTGAAATGAACTCTGGACCTTTTATCTGCTCATTGTAATTGGGATAATGAGGGAATGACACACACCTGGCCATGGAACAGCTGAGAAGCCAATTGTCCCATTACATTTGGTCCCTTAACAAGTGAGAGGAACATATGCAAACTGTTGTAATTTCCTACACCGTTCACCTGATTTGGATGTAAATACCATCAAATTAAAGTTGAAAGTCTGCAGTTAAAGCACATCTTGTTTGTTTAATTTCAAATCCATTGTGGTGGTGTATAGAGCCAAAAATGTTAGAATTGTGTCGATGTCCCAATATTTATGGACCTGACTGTATATACTGTCCTGCTCATTAGAGTTTTGTACTACAATGAGAAATAGATTGCCACATATCCGTCATACCCCATTATGGTCAAAATAACCAGTTCGGCACCTGGAGCAGCAGAAAACACATACAACTGGGAAATGCAACCAGAAACCGAGATGGGCTTTTTCTCTGTCACAAGTATCTGGAGAATCTTGGGGATAGCAGCTGTTGTGCAACAAATATCCAATATGGAAAGATTAGAAAGAAAGAAATACATTGGTGTGTGAAGACGAGAATCCATACTTATAATAACAGTTATTAGGGTATTTCCAACAAAGGCTAATGTGTAAATCAGTAAAAATATGATAAAGAAAAGAGGTTGGAGATCTGGGTAGTCAGAGAATCCCAACAAAAGAAACTCTGTAAATTATGTTTGATTCATTCTGGATGGCATTCAAGGTTAATTCCTACAGAATTGAGTAAAGCTATAGATCATGTTTTTACCTGGAAAATGTTGTAAATGTATATATCATATTTTTACCTGGAAAAAAATCAGAAGCATATATAATTCAAATTCTTATATGTTCAAGAACAGAAAAGATCACATGAGAAATGTAAGTGCTTTAAAGTGATTAAAAAATGTATGTCCGCTCAGTGCAAGTACACTGTGATTGTACTCATTGCTGTCTGTAGTTTGTTACCTATTAAAGGTATTCATGTTTTAATTTATTCACACTCTTTCTTTTGAGAGCATGCTCATAGATAGCTACATATATGTAGGGCTTAACAAAAGACTCTAAACAGCACAGATATGTAACATTTTTAACTACTTCAATACCGGGCACTTTTATCGCCTTCCTGGCCAGGCCAATTTTCATGTTTCAGCGCTCTCACATTTTGAATGACAATTGCGCAGTCATGCAACACTGTACCCAAGCTAAATTTTATCATTTTGTTCACACAAATAGAGATTTCTTTCGGTGGTATTTAATTACCATTGGGGTTTTTATTTTTTGCCAAATTAACCTAAAATTTTGAAAAAAAAACATGTTTTTCTTTGTTTCTGATATAAAAGTTTGCAAATAAATAATTGTTCTTCATAAATTTAGGCCAAGATGTATTCTGCTACATTTCTTTGGTGAAAATAACCCAAATCAGTATTTATTATTTAGTCTGTAGGAAAGTTATAGAGTTCACAAACTATGGGATATATTATTATATATATAAATAGCTCAATCCTGAGGTACTGACTAGAGATGAGCGAATTATTCAAAAATTCGATTCGGCGAATTTCAGGAAGAAATTCGATTCGATGCAAATTTATTCGCTACGAAGTTAACTTATAAAAAGGGTTTCTAGGCTTCAGAGAGCCTTTAAATTAGTGCAGAACACTGTACCTTTAATTTAAATGCCCTTGGAGATGAGGAAGGAAAAGGAGAAGGAGAAGGATGAGAAGAAGGAGAAGGAGAAGGATGAGAAGAAGGAGAAGGATGAGAAGAAGGAGAAGGAGAAGGATGAGGAGAAGGAGAAGGATGAGAAGGATGAGAAGAAGGAGAAGGAGAAGGATGAGAAGAAGGAGAAGGATGAGAAGAAGGAGAAGGATGAGAAGAAGGATGAGAAGAAGGAGAAGGATGAGAAAGAAGGAGAAGGATGAGGAGAAGGAGAAGGATGAGAAGAAGGAGAAGGATGAGGAGAAGGAGAAGGATGAGAAGAAGGAGAAGGATGAGAAGAAGGATGAGAAGAAGGAGAAGGATGAGAAGAAGGAGAAGGATGAGAAGAAGGATGAGAAGAAGGATGAGAAGAAGGAGAAGAAGGATGAAAGAAGGATGAGAAGAAGGAGAAGGATGAGAAGAAGGATGAGAAGAAGGAGAAGGATGAGAAGAAGGAGAAGGAGAAGGATGAGAAGATGGAGAAGGAGAAGGATGAGAAGAAGGAAGAAGGAGAAGGATGAGAAGAAGGAGAAGGATGAGAAGAAGGAGAAGGATGAGAAGAAGGAGAAGGAGAAGGAGGAGAAGGAGAAGGATGAGAAGAAGGAGAAGGAGAAGGATGAGAAGAAGGAGAAGGATGAGAAGAAGGAGAAGGAGAAGGATGAGAAGAAGGATGATGAAAGAAGGAGAAGGATGAGAAGAAGGATGAGAAGGATGAGAAGAAGGACAGTTCTGTGACAGTTTCTGTCTATTTCTGACAGTTCTGTGACATTCACTCCATACAGCGGTTTCAACCGCTGTATGGAGGGAATGTCACAGAACTGTCAGAAATAGCCTATTTCTGACAGTTCTGGGACATTCACTCCATACAGCGGTTGAAACATTGTATCTATTTGTTTCCATAAATGGATCCATTTATGGAAACAAATAGATACAATGTTTCAACCGCTGTATGGAGTGAATGTCCCAGAACTGTCAGAAATAGACTATTTCTGACAGTTCTGTGACATTCACTCCATACAGCGGTTTCAACCGCTGTATGGAGGGAATGTCATAGAACTGTCAGAAATAGTCTATTTCTGACAGTTCTGTGACATTCACTCCATACAGCGGTTTCAACCGCTGTATGGAGGGAATGTCATAGAACTGTCAGAAATAGGCTATTTCTGACAGTTCTGGGACATTCACTCCATACAGCGGTTGAAACATTGTATCTATTTGTTTCCATAAATGGATCCATTTATGGAAACAAATAGATACAATGTTTCAACCGCTGTATGGAGTGAATGTCCCAGAACTGTCATAAATAGACTATTTCTGACAGTTCTGTGACATTCACTCCATACAGCGTATTGCCGGCTTGGAATTATTCTTATTTTCATCCTACTTCTTCTTCATCCTCATCCTCTTCTTCTGAGGATGAGGATGAAGAAGTAGTAGGATGAAAATAAGATTAATTCCAAGCCGGCAAAAAGTGTATCTGCAGAGCTCCTCTAAGTGTATCTGCAGAACAGAGGAGCTCTGCAGATACACTTTTTGCCGGCTTGGAATTATTCTTATTTTCATCCTACTTCTTCTTCTTCATCCTCATCCTCTTCTTCTTCTTCTGAGGATGAGGATGAAGAAGAAGAAGAAGAAGTAGGATGAAAATAAGATTAATTCCAAGCCGGCAAAAAGTGTATCTGCAGAGCTCCTCTAAGTGTATCTGCAGAATGTCATTTATGGAAACAAATAGATACAATGTTTCAACCGCTGTATGGAGTGAATGTCACAGAACTGTCAGAAATAGCCTAGATGTGATTGTTCATTTCCATTAATATGAGGATAAAGAGAATATTTGGAAGAAAGTAAGGAAGATGCCAGCAATTAAATATGGAGACACTAGTTTGCAAATCTTCTCAGATATAGCCTCTGAAACCTTGGCGAGAAAGAGAACCTTGAGGCCACTGCTGGAGCAGATGCGAAAGGAAAAACGTTCGATGCAACTGGGGGTTTCCAGCCTGCCTTGTGGGATGGAATAATGAACACTCCATTAAATTGAGATTCCCAGAAGACCTGCTGGATTTCTGTGAGACACTAGAAATACAGATTCCTGATATTCCGGGATGGACAGAAGAGGCTAAAGAAGGCTTGGACTCAGGGAAAGAGAATTGGAAACGGGTCCCCATGAAAAGGCTTTAATGGGGGGGAGAGGGAGGGAGGAGAAGAAGGGGGGAAAAGAAGAGAATGTAACAGAGGGATGTTTTAAAAGGAGACGTTTAGTTCCTTCCCTTTTTTTTTCTTTTCTCCTCCTTCTTCTCCCTCTCCTTTGTCTTACATCTCCTCCCTCCCCCCCTTTGTTCCCATGATAGCAATGTGAGGAAAAGGGATTTGGGGAATTTGGAGAGAGGAATTGGGCATTGATTGAACGGTTTAAGTGAGCATGGGGAATGGGTGTGGGGGGGGGAGATGGGAAGGGAAAGGGTATTTGGGATGGGTTGGAAGAGAAATGTAATTATCAGGCAAGGAGGTTGGTGGCTCACCATGCCCCCAAAGGAGGTGGAAACGTGGGTGACGTATGTGCTCAGAGCCTCACTCTGAAGGTAGAATCAATTGTGGGATTACCCACCACTGATTTAAGGGTCAGAAATGGGCCCAAAGGCCCCAGGGATAGAGGGGGGGGGGAGGGGAGATACCAGGGGAGGAGGCAGGAGGAGGAAGAAGGAGGGGGGTGGTAAAAACAGATCCTCTAGAAGATATCTTCTCGCTACAAATTAGTTACATGGTTAATCTCCTAGATATGGCTAGCAAGGAGAAAAAAGATGAAGATGGATAAATGCGGTTATTTTATGACCTACAATGTGAAGGGACTGAATACCCCGGGAAAAAGATATAAGATTCTCATGGAAATTTACTGACGTTCTGTTGAAGTAATATTTTTGCAAGAATTGCATATATCTCACGACACAAATGTTAAGTTATACTCAAAATATTACCCAATTTGGTATTATGCTGAAACACCAATAAGGCGTGCTAAAGGGGTAGCAATTGGGATAGCAAAGAATGTAAGATTTAACATCAAAGAAAGGTTGACTGACCCAGATGGTAAATATTTGTTTGTGAGAGGGGATCTAAATGAAATGGAATGTACACTGGCAAATATCTACTGTCCTAATAAGAACCCAATGGTATTTTTGGAAGATATGTTAAGAAAATTAATGGATTTTAAAAAGGGCAGGTTGATTGTGGCAGGAGATCTTAATTTTTGTATGACCCTTTAGATCATCTAAAGGAAAGAGGGAAGGAGATAAACAGTTAACGTCCATTAAAAAAACGTTACATCAATGTCAGCTAATGGACTCCTGGAGGATTAAACATCCAGGAGAAAAAGATTAAATGTTTTATTCATCATGCATAAGATGTATTCAAGATTGGATTATATAATGCTAGAACATAGACGTTTGGAGTCATTAGTTAAGGCTGACATTGAGGTGATTTCAATATCAGATCATGCTCCTGTCACAATGAAGCTGTGTCTACAAGGGGAATGAAATATGATAAATATGTGGAAGTTGAACGAGACACTCCTACTGGATCAAGAGACGGAAATGAGGTTAAAAAAATAAATTGAGCAATATTTTCAGTCAAATGAGTCTAAGGAGGTCTCAGTTGCAACAATATGGGAAGCACATAAAGCTTATATAAGAGGTATTCTGATCTCCATAGGGTCTGAAAAGAAGAAAAGTCTGGAGGAGAGAATAAGATCATTACTAGAAGAACTATATGAATTAGAACAACTACATAAAAAGAAGTTATACACAGATTTACACCAGAAAATAATACTAAAAAGCGAAGAACTAAAGGATTTAATGGAGCAAGAAATGAAGAAGCAGTTTAACATGGTGGCAAAAGAAAGATACCAATGGTGGAACAGACCAGGGAAACATTTAATGAGAAGATTAAGGAAACAGAATTCAGCAAATTATGTGGAGAGCATTAGAGATGAGATAGGCGA